CTGCTGCTGAAGATTAATGTGAAAAATCAGGACTGTCCAATATTTTGCCCAGTAAGTGCAGCATTATATTATATGTAGCACCTTTCCCAGTATCTGAAGGGGCTCACAGGGAAGCTGAAGAGGGACTTTTTGTTAGGAGCTGCAGAGACAGGACAAGGGACAATGGATACAAATTGAAAGAGGGGAAATCTAGGTTAGATATTTGGTAAAAGATTTTTACTGTGAGAGTGGTGAGACACTGACGTAGGTTGCCCAGAGAGGTAGTAGGTGCTCCAGCCCTGGCAGTGTTCAAGGCCAGGTTGGCTGAGGCCTTGAGCAACCTGGTCTAGTGGGAGGTGTCCCTGCCCATGGCAGGGGGTTGGGACTAGGTGATCTATAAGGTTCTCTGCAATCCCTAAAATTCTATCATTCTGTGAATATCATAGTTGCCATGATGGGACAATTCAGCAGGGACTGAAAGTCATCATCTGTTCAGTCATGGTTTGGATGGCCTACCTTAGATACTACAGAAATATTAGAGGGAAAAGGGTGTAACTGGTTTTGGTTTTTAGCTTATGATTCTTAGAACTGCTGTGGCCATGCTACAAAAATTAAGGCTGGTTTGTTTGTTTTTCAGATCAGCTAAACTGTTAATGAGTACTGGCAGCAGCGAAGAAGATCTCGATGACATTATTGATGAAATCTGTAATGACAGCAGCTTTACCAAAACACCTCAGGTCAGTAGGAATTGGGAGAAATGCAGAACAGATCAGGTCCAACAATGGAAAGGAAAGCACCGTAAGCTAAAACTTTTAAAGCAAAAAAATGAACTAAAACAAGCTGTAGGATAAACTTGGAAAATAAAGCAGAAAGGAAAACACACAATCCTACAATGACGAACAGGAGAGATACAAAGAGATATTCTTACTCAGGCATGAACAGGCAATTAAAGGAAATGCTGGTTCAAGATAGAGCATATTGTCAAATACCACAGAATCAAAGAATGGTTGTGATTGGAAGAGAGACCTCTGGAGATCATCTGGTCCAACCACCTGCTTAAGCAGGACTGCCTAGAGCCAGTTGCCCAGGACTGTGTCCAAATGGTTTGTGAATATCTCTAAGGGTGGAGACTACAGCTTCTCTAAGTAACCTGTTCCAGTGTTTGACCCCCTCACAAGAAGTAAAGTTTTTTTCATATGCTTAACTGGAAATTCTTGTGCTAGAATTTTTGCCCATTTCCTCCTGTCAGTGGGCCTCACTGAGGAGAGTCTGGGTACATCTTCCCCAACATGTATTTTTATACCTTGGTAAGATTCTCCTGACTGTTATCTTCTCCAGACTAAACAATTTTAGCTCTCATAGCCTCCACCTGTATTTCAGATGGTCTAAATCCTTAATCACCTTCATGGTCCTTTCCTGCACCCACTCCATTATGCCCATGTCTCTTTTGTACTGGGCACAGCACTCCAGACATGTCTAAGAGGTTGTATCTGGAGTACTGTGTCCAGTTCTGGTCCCTCCAGTACAAGAGAGAGGTGGACCTACTGGAGAACCTTGAACAAGGGCCCATGGAGGTGGTTAAAACTGGAGTATCTTTCATATGAGGAGAGGCTGAGAAAGCTGGGACTGTTTAGTCTGGATAAGAAAAGACTCCAGGGGGATCTTGCCTATGTGTGTAAATACCTGATGAATGTCATAAAGAAAGGGTCAGACTGAGCTGTGCAGGGCCCAGTGACAGGACAAGAGGCAATGGGCACACACTGAAACACGTGAAATTCCATCTGTGCACAAGAAAACACTTTCTTTACTGCAAGGGTGATCAAACATGGGGACAGTCTTCCCAAAGAGGTTGTGAAGTCTGTCTGTGAAGATTTTCAAAACCCAGCTGGACACAGTCCTTGGCAAGCTGCTGAAGCTGACCCTGCTTTGAGCAGAGGAAGGTCCCTTCCAACTGAGATGATTCTGTGATTCTGTCTCACCAGTGCTAAGTAGAGAGGAAGGATCACCTCCCTCGACCTACTGGCAACATCCCTCCTAATATAGCCCAGGATGCTGTTGGCCTTCTGTGCTGCAAGGGCACACTGCTGGCTCACAGTCAGCTTGTCATCGACTGAATTCCCCTGAGTCTTCTCTGCAAAGCTGGTTTCCAGCTGGTCAGCCCTCATTGTGTTCTGGTGCATAAGGGTTATTCCTCCCCAGGGGCAGGAATTTGCATTTCCCCTTAGCTGAACTTGAAGAGATTCCTCTCAGCCAATTTCTGCGGTCATTTGAGGTCACTCTTAATGGCAGTGCAGTCATCTGACACACCAACCACTGCTCCCCATTTTGTATCCTCTGCAAATGATTTCTGTTGTTTGACAGCAGGAGATGAAGCTGCAAATTTACATTGCCAAGACAGAATGGTAGAAGGCATTGAAAATAGAGATTCATTTTGGTATCAGCAGTAGAAAATTGGGTTATTGTAAATTGTAGCCACTTGTGCAGATTCTCTTATTTTCATAAGTGACATTGGGTTTGCTTTGGTTTTGGCTCTTTATTTTACAGAGTGGCCAAATCTGAACCAACAGAAAACACTTGTATACCACAATGCATACATCTGAGTGAGAGAGAATTATGCCAGTATATTTGTATAATTTAATGATTTTATATCCCTAGAAATTTCCATTTAGGATCAGGAATTCTAATGTTCTAGAATTCAAATAAACTGATTTGTGTGCAGCAAATAAGAAATTTTTCAAAGGCACTTTATCGTTTTGAATAACAAGTTCTTGATGTGTTCTCAGTGAAACAAAAGCTCAAAAACATCAAGGGAGAGGGTTCATAAGTTAATACTGGTTTTAAAAACAAAATTATTTAAAGGAAGGCATTAAATACTAAGTCTTGATTGCAAAGTCAAAGTGATCATGTGGTGCTGAATTCCTTCAAGCAGAGCTGGAAATTCGGTATGGGAAGATAAGCCTTGTTCCACGCTTATCTGTTACTTCAGCAGCTTTTGTCTCAAGGAGCCTCACAGAAACCCGAGCCAGAAAATTACTGAAGTCTTAGTCCCCTTCTTCTGTGACTGAGATTTTCTTGCTCCTGGTATTAAGTAAAATAGAATATTGTTACTTTGCCGTAATGCTACATTTTATTCTTTGATTGCTTTTCAAGCAGAAATTAAAATCTAGCTCTGCAAGTCTCACACCTGAAAGAACTGGTGCTGTTGTACAGCCACGTGGGAAAAGGTAAGTGAAAAATGTTTTGGCTTGTTGGACACAGCTTGATTATACCTTCTTGTCACTCTAATAGTATTGCTGCTGTTCAGTCTATGTTGACAGTAACTGAGAAAGACACTAAATATTTAGAGAAACATTCTTTTTAAAGAAAAACAAAGGTAAACATAATTTTGAAGAATTGCTAATGTGCCAAAATTATTCATTATAAATTTATTATCTAAGCTATTGAACAACATCTTTCATTGCCTTATGGGATTTATCAAATGCTGCAATATTTAGACCCATATATATTTGGTATAGAGGGTAATTTTCATGCAGTTTGTCTTTGAACACCTGTTCTGTAGTTTGCAAGCATTTGGATGCTTTGCCTGTACTTAATAAACACTATTTTATAAATGCCAAGTTGTTAAACTAGGAGAGACATTGTACTCCTTTCCCCAACGTGTTTTGCTATAACTTAGTATTTTTAATTAATCCATATAGATGCTGTCCAGTGTACCTGGGTGGAAGCTCTTCACCTTATGGCATAGGAACAAATATTTCAAAAAGGTAGGAAAGCTGAAAAAAAATCTCCTGTTTGCTTTATCATTATTTTTATTCACAGCTGTGTTTCTGTGGTGGTACAGAGTTCTGCATTTGAACTAGGCAGGGCAGGGTTGTAGTCATCTAAAGAAGTGGCTGCCTGTAACTGCAGTTGAAGTCAGCTGGTCCCTTCCAGTCCTCTGTTGTTGACCACGAGATCTTTTGTTCGTTTGAGGCGTTGAAAGATATGTGCAAATGAGACATGAGACTCTAAAGATCAGGGACAAGTAGTTGAGGAAATTGCTGCTGCATTGTTATTTTTCCCTGCCTGTCGTCATCTTTCTTTGTGACACCAAGTATGTGACTTAAATCAGTGGGCTGGTTTAAGTCACCCCAGAGCCTGGACTGAAAACAGCCAGAGTGCTTGGCAACTGCAGCTGAATTTAGCAGGAGAGGTACTTTGGAGATTTATCCGGAACAACCTATAGGACATTATTGCATTTCTGTGGGGGATTTTTTTGTAGTAAGTAATTATGTACTTGATGCATACTTGAATGCTGGTCAGGTGCTGTACCTGTGAGGAAGACCAAAGAGAATATATCAAGAGAGTATCAGTTTACTTTATGTGTTCAGTGTGGTTAGGAACCTGTAAAAATAATACATAATCATAGGTTAAATCGCATACCATAATGAACATGACAGAGATGTAAAAACATTAAGGTAGGTAACGTTGCTTCTAGTATTTCTGAGTGAGTGCTGTACTTTGAAACAGTTAGGATCTTTGTAGCTTCTCTGATTGTAATAAGCTCTTGGAGGTTTTTGTTCTTTTTTGACCAGAACGTGTGATCAGCTGCGTTGTACTGCTTGTGACTTCCGCGTGTCACTTTTCAATGACTACATCTGGGATCAGTCCTGTGATTATCTTTTTTTCAGGTATGTCTGAGGTGGGTTTGGTATTAGTATTGTGTTGCTGTGCTTTGGGGCTTGATAAGAACAGGAAAGATGAAAAGTCCTGAGCACTGCTGTGTTACCTAAAAAGGAGCATGTGTGCAACCTGCCTGAAGTCTTCAAAACGGAATTCAGATACATCCCTAACTTCACTTCTGATTTGAAATGGCCTCAGGAATCTTTTTTTCTTAAAAAAAAAACAAAACCATGATCCTAAGCTGAATTCACTTGTTTGGCAGGAATAATATGCCTGAGTTCAGTAAACTACGAGCGAAGATGATAAAGAAGAAAGGAGCACGAGCATATGCTTGTCAGTGCAGCTGGAGATCCATTGATGAATTAACTGACCTCCAGAGAGACCAGCAGCTTCGGTGGGTTTGTGGTAAACATGGAGAATGAAATCTTCTGGTGCGTGACACCTGCTTGTGTGGAAATGGGTCATAAACTCAATTTGTTTCCCACCCAGTTTTCTGAGAACAGATGGAAACCTGAATACTTATATCTAGAAATAGGTTATAACACTCATATTTCAACCTGAAAACCTTTTTTTTTCCCAATGTAACTGTCTTGCAAGCAATGTGGGGAGTTGAATTATTAGAAGAAACAACCAATTTGGAAGCTTTCTGGAAGCTAAAGGAGCTTAAAGTTCATACTCAGTAGAGTTAAAGAAAGGAAGAAGAAATAACAGACTTGGGCATGAGCAAAACACCTTGAGACTGTTTGTCATATCTAGCAGAGAGCCTTATTTCCCATGTCTGCAGAATCCTGGACTCAGAATGGTGGGCTGGGATGCAGCCATGAGACACAAGTGTATGAATTTCTGCATAGAAATTAATCCCACTCTTCTGCTTTGCTCATAGCTGTTAATGAGCAAGTGGTTGTTGATCTTTTAAAAAATTACTGTGGGATCAGTTCTCACCATGAAGTTTTCAACATAGCCCAGAACTTTACTTCTTTTGCCCACCAGTAGCCAAAAGCTGAAGATGGTGAAAATTTTCTTCCAGTTCCTAACTGCTTTCTTCACAGCACTTTCTGCTGGCTAAGGACTTTTACCACAGTTACTTTCTTGAACTTCTCTTCAGCCATCACTACAAGAGGTGAACAAGTTATTGTGCAATTATTAAATAATTTGCAATTTTAAAGATATTCTGAAAAGTATATGACTTTTCTTTCAGTATTTTCAAGGGAAAAAGACTCAGGCTTGTAAGAGTAAGAAAATACATATCCCCACCGATGTTCAAAGTTAGATTTTTTTTTCATATTCCCTTCAGCTTCTCTTCAAAATACCATGTGTTCCAAAAGTGTGACTGTCCTGTTTCAACACACACCTTTCACCCAATAACATTGTTACTTGGTGAATTGTCCTGCTTACAGTCAAAGTCACTATAGTTTATGAGGTATTTCTTTATGTTATGTATAAATAACATAGGAGATAGAGTTGAGTTTTATGCAGGGAGAGAGGAAGGAAAGGATTATCAGTCCTGTCATTTACTACATCAAAAAGTGTCTCAAAATGGGAAGTCTGTCAGTATTTTTGCTATGCATTATATGTATCTGTACAGATAAATTTGATGTTACTTACTTGGAGCAATTCTAGGTATAAAGAGCCATTTCCTTTTCTTTGAAGCTCTGCTCATGGTTCTAATCTGTACATTTGTTCTGTTCCTGAGCTTGTCCAAAACAATTGCACGGTCTTTCTTAAAGAGGTGATCTCTTTAATCTGTTACCCTCTGAAAGTGGTCAGTATTACTCAGAGGCATAATGTATTCTGCATCCTGCTTACCTTCCGCTTCCAAGAGTGGTTGTTTTGGAATGTGCAGAGGGCCAGCAGTGTGCCTGGGAGGCCTGGCAGTGCTGCCTCAGTGCTCCTGGCTGCATCTTCCAGTGCCACATGAGGCCTTGCTAGTAGGTTCAGAGGTGAGTTGGCTTTGGAGAGGTATTACTTGGCATAATGGTATGACATGTTTAAGGTCATGGATTGTTTTCAATTAAATTGGTGTTTCAGGCTGAAGTTTCTAAAACTGTAGGTTTAGGAGACAGAGAGACCCAGAGACCAGTTGATTAATGCTCAGTCAGCAGAAGAGGTCTAGTTGCCTTTCTGTCCTTTGTGAAGTGGGGTCTGTATGCAGTGAGTGTTCCTGGGTTTTCCTCAGGTGAGCCCGAGTGATTTCCACGCCCAAAGAGTATCAGTGCTAAGCATAGGAGAAGAACCCAGCGATAGATAACAAGCTCTGGCAAAGAACAAGCCTACTTTCCATTCTTATTGAAGAATGCATTTCAAAAAGAGCTGAGTTGCTTTGGCTTGCCTGTTCCAAGGCCATTTGAAACTCATGACCAAGCAGTCCCACAGGGTGCTCTTTCGGCTGGATTTGCACTGGAACTTGTGCCACAGTGTAGGAATAAGTTGAGCTTGCAAATTGTGAGCAGGAAACAGGGAAAATCCTAATACCCATCTCAATTCATGAGACCAGGTCTTATGTGATTGGAAAAGGAGCATGTCTCCTGTACCCTGAGCATTCCCCTGAAATAATCAGATTTATTCAAGGCTAGTTACTTGTTTCTGGCCTTGGCCAGAATGGTAGGATGTGACAGCTCTTTGTCCAAGTGTAGTTGTAAACAGGTGGAGAAATTGTATTGGTTTTCATTATAGAATTTAGCATATTTCTAGATTTGAGAATAGTTACTATGTCATTAAATGTAATTTTTTTTTTTGGAAGGAGGAGCAGTATTAAGTATTTGATTCCCCTTCCTTTGCTTTCTTCAGTTATGTGTTCCAAACCAAAGTCCTCAAATGAAAAGAATCTAAAGAAAGAGAAAATTAGAGCTTGAATGTTTGTTTACTGGAGGTAATGTCAGACTGCACAAGGTTTTCAAGATGTAGCCCACACACTAAGTGATATTTCCATGTCAGTCATCTGAGAGAGCAGGGAGTATGTGAAGAATTCTGTTCAAGAATTGCCATTCAGCTGTTGTCAAACGGAAGCACTGGAGAACAGTGTTGGCTAAGTATAAATGTGACCATTGTTTTACTCTTGTTTTTTACTTTGGAAGTAATAGTGCCATTTCCGTTTGTGAAATGGACAAGGTGAAAATGTGAGACTTTTATTTTGCTTAGGTGATATGCTTGGAAAGTTTCTAGCCTGCAGCATTAGTTTGCAGCAGATCCCTCAGCAAAACAAAAGCAGTGAAGGATGACAAAATGAGAATCCATGCAAAAACATTCACTTGAAAATGTAGTCAGTGGTTTACTCTCATACCAGCTTTTCTAAATCTGTGTTCCTGCAGTACTTCTGGATGGGAATCCCATTCAGAGGTACATAGTATATTTTTATAGTTTTCTTTATAAAATTTTAATTTGCTGTTCTGTTTGTATTTCACTTGTCTTACCTGCAGACTGGACAGTGTCCCACTCAGATGCTGAATATGGCCTGCTATTAAGTTTAACTTGCAGGAGCATAATAGCATGACATATAGCAAGCTCTGCACTGTACTATATTGAATAAGGATTTATTTTTTTCTGAACACCTATATCAGTTTTGTACTGAAGGTATTCTGCAAATGCTAAGCACTGGAAGCTGCCACTTGCTGAAAGACTGATGCTTCTCTGGTTTCCTGACATGTGAGTCTTTGGGTCATGTAACCAGCACATGTGGGAGTCACACAATAGAAGAGGGACTAATCTGGGAGCTGTGTAGGCAAATTTTTCTTCCTGCCAGGCTGTTTTTGCACAAGACCTGACCAGTTTTGTCTGGTGTGTGACACCCAATAACCACAGACAGGTGGAGTAAAGGAACATAAGGTGCTGCTCATTTGTGAGGGCCACATCCAGTGCTTGGGGTTTGGCATGTGTTCTTTTACAAAACTATTTTTCAAATGTCAGCACTTATTAAAATGAAAATTTGGAACAAATCTGAATTGTGTGTTGTGTAAATTTTATTGTGTTGTTCCTATCCAAGAGAAGCCTTAAAAATGGTGTTTTCTGTCAGCAGGGTTATGACATGCTCACAGTACGAAAACATTGTCCATCTCATAAGAAGCAAAAAGTACTGTTGTGTGTGTTTTCTCAGATCAAAGGGGATGCAGTAAATACCAGAGAATTAAATAAGCTTTAACATGCTTTACCAGATAACATGAGAAGAGCAGATTCAGTTCTAGAGAGCTCATGAAGGTGGATGCATTTGCCACATTTTTTGGATGTTTACCTAGGATAAAAGGTGGGGCCAGCTGCTGTGGAAGGTGGCATATAGGTAGAGTGGTACCTTTGTGTATCAGTCACAGTGGATTATCACTAGCACCATACTGGTCACATGAAAGAAGGAGATTAATCGAGGAATTGCAGCATTTGCTGTGATCCATGTGCCCTGGATCTTGCTGTAGCAAACCTTCTTTGTACCAGGGAGGAGTTGCTCTGGGTGTGGGAGTTGAAACTTGTTTCTCCACCAGAAATGCTGTGTGGCTTACCTTAAAGTAACAGACATAAATATTTCCTGTACCTCATCCTGAATTTGGACTCCAGGCACTGGTGCTCTTCAGGCAATAATTATTTCTCCGACTTAACGGGCAGTGAGGGCACACAGAAACCACCCACTGCCTCAGGACTACTCCTGCCTTATTTGCGGCTTGCAGTGTCGCAGCACCCAGTAGAAGGTAGTGCTCATGTATCTTTAATTCACATCGGCAACTTTTTTTCTGTGGAGTTAGCTGTGCTTTCAAAGTACATAATCCTGGGTAATATGTGGTTGTACAGTCCAGTCTGCAGAGGGCAGAGCAACACCGCTAAGTGTTGCAGCTCAGGATTCTTTTCTTTTTTGAAGTAGTGAACGTTTACATTCAACAGACCGAGGCTTCTTGCTTTTGTCTCCCACTGGTGTGATTATAAGTGGGGTAGCCATATCTGTGCAACTTCGCTTGATTTTTGCATGGCTTCATCCAAATGGTCCTCAAGTGGTTCTTGACTAATATTGAAGTAGATCAACTTTTCTAGCTGTCAGCTTAAAGAAGCCTGAAAAACTCTGTGTGTATATGTGGGTATATCTATGTATGTTTATCTTCTAAAAACATCAGTAGAAAAACTAAATTGCCTCAGGATTTACCTTTCACTCTGAATTAATTTTCTCTGAAAATGTTAAATAATTTTGGCAAGTAGAGGTTGTGGACATTGGAATCTTCTCATTTCTATACAGAATTTATACAGCACATCACCCAAGATGACAGCCCTTAAAAGGAAATAGTAAAAGTCCAAGATTTATAGATACCAAAAATATTTGGTTCTGTCTATGTAGGAAAGCAATGTAGACCAGAGATGCTGCAGAGGAGTCTGAAGTACAGCATGAGAATTGTCCAAAGACCTGTGTTCTGCAGTTCATTACCCATGGGCCACAGCTCAGGTTTTGGTGAAG